TGCTGAGGGCCAACCCCACAGCTCTCTGGGGCCAGGCTGATGGGTTCAGATCCCAGGGCTGACACCCAAAGGCTGTGTGTCCTCAGACAGGTGTCCTGACCTCTCTGTGCCACGGGCATCCCATCTGTGAAGTGGACAACCGATGTTTACCTGACAGGCTGGGGTTCCTGGGTAAGGGCTGCTGGGAACGGTGCCTGGAGCGCAGACGATATGTAAATATCAGCTGCTGATCAGGGCTGCCATCCTCCTGTGGGCTCACCCTGCCCAGGGAGCCTGGGGCCCTGCCTGTCAGGGTGGGGACTGGGTGGGGTCCCGTCTGGGAGGAGGTGCCGTCGCTGGAGGCCTGTGCTTGCCAAGACGCCTGGCCCCTATCGGCCTCTGGTCCCCGTGAAGACCAGGGCTCTGGTGGCCTCCTGGGTCTGCCTTGACCGCCCCTGGGACCCCGGGCAGTGGCCAATCTGCTTGGGGCCTCAGTTTCCCGTCTGTGAAATGGGGTTTGGCCAGAGCTCACCGCCCAGCTGTCGAGGCCTGAGGAGGGGACGCGTTCCAGGAGCTGGGCCGGCGCCTGGTGGCTCAGGTCACGGTGAGGCCTGCTCCGAGCTGGGCCCGGGGACAGGAGCCCCGGAGCCGGGTGTGGACAGGGGCCACGGAGGGCCCTGAGCCTGGGCGTCCTCATCTGCGTCCCCAGGCAGCCACACCTGCCTCTGCTGTCCCCAGGTGACCTCTCCCCCTGCTGTCCCCAGGTGACCTCTCCCCCTGCTCAGGCAGGGACCCCCTCACCCTGCCCCTCAGTCCACCCCGGTCAGGGGCTCTGCTGCTCCAGCTCCGGAGCCGGCCCCGAGTCAGCCCAGCCCCGTGGACGCCCCAGGCCTTCTCCCACCCACACCCTCCCACGGCCTCCTGGGCCCCGCGCCAGGGCCCTCCTGGCCTGCTCTGTCCAGCCCTCGTGGGAGGCCCCCTCCAGCCCTCGTGGCCTGGGCTCCTCCTGGGGACCCCTCGGCTCTGGCCATCCCGAGGTCCCAGCAGCGTGGAGGATGCCCACGAGCCTGGGTTGGCCAAGAACCTGGGCTCTGCAGTTCCGGACTCACCCCTGACCTTGGCAGGTGACCCCGAGGGCAGAAGACCCAGGATGGCGCTTCTGGTGCTGGTGATGCCAGCCGTCCCCGTCACTCTCCCTGGGGACCTCGCCCTCACGGCCGCCCTCACAGCAGGTTGGTGCATCTCCCCAAGTCCCAGATGAGGCCGCCGAGGCCCTGCAGGCCTCGCTCCTCCAGAACCCTGTCTCCAGCCACAGACACTGAGCCCAAACCCTGCTTCCACCCAAGGCCCAGAGAGCCCAAGTGACTTGCCCAGGGCCACGCAGCTTCTGTGTTCACACAGCAGCCTGGTCTGCTTCATCCTGCAGGGCAGACTCGGGGCGCCGTCGCACACGTGGGGCCTGTGCTGGGACTCACATTAGGGGCCATGACCGCAAACTTAACGTGGAGGGGAGCAAGTCTGGGGGCAGGGCCAGGCAGTCTGGTGGCCGGCCACCTCCCCCTCTGCTGGCCACCTGCCCGGACTCTCCTGGGAAAGAACACGCAGACTTCCAGGGCAGATGACACCCCAGCTGAGCGGCGCCCTGCTGTGCTGCCTCAGGAGCTTTGGGAGGTGGCTGGGCCCCACCTCAAGGATTCTGGGATTCAGCCATCCTTCCAGATCTTTCCAAAAGCCCTCCGTCTCCCAGTTCCCGGGAGAACTCTGCGGCAGGGTCCCGTGCTTTTAAAATGACGGCGTGGATGGGGCGCGTTTCAGTGGCGCAAGAGGCAGCTGTGAGGGAGAATGGGAGGGAGCATTTATGGAGCACCTGCAGTGTACCCAGAGATGCTGCAGGCACCTGACCCAGAAAGATGAGGTGTCCCCCAGAAGGAGACCTGCCCCTCACCTTCTGGAATGTTCCAGGGACAGCCAGCCCAGTCCTGTGGCTGCTTCCTCCTCTCCCTCCATGGCTGAGTTAATGCAGACTGGCAGAGGGCGGCGAGGGGGCTGGGTGAGGCTGGCAGCCGGCCTGTGCCGCCCGCCCGTGCCACCCCCTCCCGCCGCCGCCCCCGGCAGGAAGCCGCCGCTCACACGCGCAGCTGCTGCTAACAGGTGAGCCGGCCGGCCTCCCAGGGCCTCCTGGAGAAATCCTAATGAAGTGCAGCTGTGAACTCCAGTTTTGGGTCAGGAAGGCAATTTCTCATCTCTCCTCGCAGCAATTGAGCCGAAACCCGGGAGCCGTGTGCTTCTCCGTGCCAGCGCCCTCGGCCCTCCTGGGTGGCAGGCGGCTGCGCGTCAATATTGACTCTGGGGCAGGGGAGCCGGGCTGGCCAGGCCAGAGCAGCCCCGAGGGCAGCGAGGTGGGAGCAGGAGCGGCTGGCCGCCCGCCAGGCTGAGGACTGGGCAGCCCCCTCCCGCGGTGACTGCTCTGAGTGACTCCCGGCCCAGGAGCTGTCACCTCGCCTCGGCAGCACATGGGCCAGGGCCCTGCCACACACCACATCTGAGCCACTTCGCAGCGCCAGGCTCTGCTCCTGGCCTAACCCGCCTTTCCGGGTGGTTCCTGGCGTGGAAAGGCGCAGACCCACAGAGCCGGGGTGGCCGGGGAACCTCAGGGCCTCCCGGCCAGGGGCCTACTGCCGAGGAGGTGGCCCGGGCAGGGAAGAGCCCTGGCTCCCAGATCCGGCTGGGCCTGGCCCTGCTGTGCCACCTCTGGCCACAGGGTCACCCGAGAAGCCAGTTTCCTTCCAGAGACACAGAGGAAGCGCTGGCCCCTGCCCGGGCTGAGTGGGGGAGCCACAGCGGCCTCTGCTCGCGCTCCTGGGGCGTGTCGGGGAGCACTGGCGCCCTCAGGGGATCCCCCAGTGCGGTGGCCCTGGGCCAGCAAGCCTGTGTGGCCTTCAAGAGGTTGCTTGACCTCCCCCTGTCCCCTGTAGAATGTGAGCGTTGGATTTGAGACTCTCATGTCAACAATGGCCGGGACGATGGCTCCCACAGTCATGCACCTCGGGCGGAGTGCCAGGGTCCTACCTGCCGGCCACACCGGCTCACCAGGGCTCCCAACGTGACCTGCCCAGGGAGGGCTGGTTCCCCGGCCGGGGCCTCCCCAGCCCCTCGGGCAGCGTCTGGACTCCACGCGCCTGCTCCCTGCCTGGGTTCCCTGGGAGGCCTCTGAGGCAGGGGAATGGCAAGTTGGAGGCTGACCTCAGCCGCTTAGTGAGACCCTGTCCCAAAACAAAAAATAGAAAGGGCTGGGGCGCAGCTCAGGGCGGGGGGAGCCCCCGGGCTCACCCCCAGTGCCACAAAAAGGGAGGAAGGGTCCCTCGAGATGCCACGGGATGCACTCCCTGGGGTCGCCCCAGCGGGCACAGCAGGGAGGCCACCAGGGTGGAGACCCCGCCCTGACCCCTGGCCCTGCTCCAGCCCCAGGGCCTCTTCTGTCCCTGTGGCTCACTGTGCAGGGAGTCCGGAGCATTCCGCGCGGAGCCCCACGCTGACCTCTGTGGTCAGCTGCGGCTGGGGCCCTTGCCAGGAGCATGTCCTTGGCAGTTCCTTGGAGGGGCCGTTCTGCCTGTGGACAGTCTGTTCAGGAGGGGACGCTGAGCGCAGGCTCCCACGGCCAGGCTGCTCCGGTCAGCAGCCACGAGGGCCCTTTCCTCTTCTGCTCCCCAGGCCCATGCCCCAGGCAGGGAGTGGCCCCATTGACCCCCGTCACAGCTCCAGCTGGACTCTGGCCAGAAATGCGTCACGGGTCCTGGGCCCCGCCGAGCGCGAAGCCGCCTGAAAGAAAACAGATGGGATGGGAAGCCGCGGCCCAGCCTGCGCGGGCCTGGGACTGCAGCTGGGCAGGCAGTGGGACTGCCCAGCCCCGACCTGGTGGCACCCGGCAACCTGCCAGCCGGGTTCCGACTTCCAGAGTGGGGCACAGGCAGCTGGGGACGCTGGGGCCACCCTGCATCTGCACCCCCTCTCTCCCCGAGGCCCCAGTCCTGGAGCGTGGGAATCACCTGGGGCACAGATAAGATCTCGTTGGCCTGTGACCGTGGCTGGGCTGCTGGGGTCTTTCAGAGCCCCCCGAGTGCCTGGATCCCTGGTCTGAAGGCAACGGATTGTTCCGGAAGCCCAGGTTGGGTGCCGCCTCCTGCTGGGGAAGCTTCCTCCTGGAGTCCAGCGCAGGCCAGCTGGCACCTCCTACAGGACTCCCGCAGAAGGACCTGGGCTGGGGACACTCGCAGACTCTGCCGAGAGGGACATCTGCTGGGCAGGGCGCGCCGTTCCTGGACAGACGCGGGCGTGGTCTCGCCCCCGTTTATTCCGTTAGCAAACAGTTGGTGCCTCCCTCCTGCCAGGCTTTCCCGAGGCCACGCAGGTGGACTGAGACCTGCTGGGGTCAGGTGCTCGGTGTCCACCACACCCTGCAGGCACAGGGTCTCGCTGGGCCTTCCTGCTGGGGGTGGGCAGCAGTGCCCCCAGGTGCGGCACCTCTGCAGGGCAGCGTGAGCAGGCCCAGCCGGACCCCGAGGGACACGGGTGCTGCGTGACCCAGACGTCCCCCGCTGACCGCGGCGAAGCCTCCCTCCAGCTCCTGGGTTAGAGGAAAGCTCCAGGCTTGGGTGTTGGTGGGGACAGGAAGGAGGGGCTGGGAGGGGTCTGCAGACCCTGCCCCTGGCCAGCCTTCTGCCCCTGGCCGGTGTGACACCCACTGGAGGCTGAGGCACTCCTTCCCTGGTGGCTGCAGGCTGACATGGTCCCACCCCGAGCATGTCCGTTGGGTGCCTGTGGGTCACAGAGCGGAGACCGAGGTGGGCAGCCGGGAGGGCTGCGGTGGGCTGGTGTGGAGGGGCCTCCCCCAGCGGGAGGGGATCAGAGGGTGACCTGCCCCGCCTCGCCTCATCCGCAGGCTGGGTGGGAGGCCCAGGAAAGGCAGCTCCCTCCTGGCCAGCTGGGCCTGCCTGGGCGGGTCCCGTGTGGCCCGAGGGTCAGACACTGCGTGCTGCTCCGTGACGAGTGACAGCCAGATGGTTCCCCCGCAGTGGGTCTGGAATGCAGGTGTCCTGGGGCTGGCTCCCCGGGGAGCTGCCCGCGTCCCTGGCACTCCTGGGCTGTCACGTGGCCTTCCCCCGGCCGCCTCCTCTCCTTCCTGCCCCTGCCAAGGACGCTCATTCTTGGGGCCGTGCCCACCCTGCCCTGGGTGACCTCCTCTCTGGGTCCTTAACCCAGTCACCTCTTCAAGGACCCAACTTCTAAGGAGGGCCACACGCAGGTCACCGACGTGCCTTTTGGGGACCACCCTTGGCAGTACCCGATGCCTCCTCAGAGGACCCAGGTGCCCTGGCTGGGTCCGTGGTGCCCAGGTCTGTGCAGCTGCCCTGCGACCGCTCCCAGGCAGACACGAGTGCCGTGGGCCACGGCGAGGGGACAGGGGGACAGGACGTGCGTGGGCCTGCTGGGCGCAGAGCTGGCCGCGGTGAGCACTGGGGCTGGGGTCTTGGCCCCAAGCACAGCCTCGTCCTCCTCTTCAGGGATGAGGAGCAGGTCCAGAGCCAGTCCCCTGGCTGTGGTGGCACCGTGGGCTCAGCCGGGGCCGGGGCGCGAGTCCACAGCCCCCACCCCACAGTGTGGGGCCTGGGTGACAGAGGCCACCCGGGAAATGCCGGTCCACAGGGCTCTGCCTGTTTGGGGGACCTCACTTGTCCTGGATGTGACTCTGTGCCAGACTCTGTCAGGGACAGGCTCGGGAACCCACTGTCTGCCACCACCTCCTGCAGGCGTGGTGAGGCTCCGCCGCTGGGGAGTTTGGTCTCGGTTTTTGACAAGCTGGGGGACACGTGACGGGTTCCTGTGCCGGCAGCCACCTGCCTGTGCACTTTCCCATCCGCTCTGATCTGTGCCAGGAGGGGCTGGCGGCCTCCCCGGGAGTCAGGCCCTGCCCTGGGATGGCCTCCCGTCCCCCGTTTCACTGACCCACCGTGTCCAGGGAGGAGGCCACAGCTGGGCTCTCGAGGTGGGCGAGGTTCCGTCCACCCCCACCTGTGCACGGAGGTGGCCAGGGCTCAGTCCTCTCTTGGTGGCACATCCCCGAGGGCCAGGGCTGTCTCTAGGTCCAGCTGTGCAGGGGCGGCGTTTGCTGTCAGGCCTTGGCTGGCCAAGTTTTCCTGCCCACTCAGAGACCTGCGGAGCTCGGGGATCCTGGGGACCGGGGGGCGGTGGCAGTGCAGGTCTGCAGGGTGGGCCTGAGGGACGGGCCCCTTGGTGGGGCCTGCAGAGCCCTGCCCTCTGCCCTCCGCCCCGCCGTCTGCTGGGGACTTCCACACCTCGTGTCCCCAGCAGAGCTGCTGCCCTCTCACGCCCACGCGGGCATCGCTGCTGTGGGCACCAGGTCCTGGCACCTGAGGAGGGGGGTGGTCCTGGCACCTGGGGAGGGTGGTGGTCCTTCTCCTGCTGCCGGGTATCTGTGGCCCTGGAGACGCTGGAAGAGCTACACTAGGTAAAGGTCACTCTGAGCCCTGGGGGTAGGTGTGGCTCTCAGGGGCCTGCAGGGAGGGGGGCACTGCACCCCAGTCCTGGAACGAGACCCCCCCTGTGCCCAGACCACCCCTCCACTGCCAGGGACGGGGACCCGTGGGAGGTGCTGGTCACCGCGGGAACAGAACAGGCCCTCCCCACAGAGTCACGAGGCCCAGGGAGAAAGCTGACCAAGGGCTTCCCAGCAGCTGTGCCAGAGGGACTGGGCGACTGGTGATGAGTGGGCCTCAGGAGTGGGCGTCCGAGGCTGCTGTCTGCCCAGGACACGGCGGAGGTGACTGCAGCTCCTGACCCCCAGGGAAAGGGCAGCAGGCTGGCCCTGGAGGCCCTGGAGAGTGGCCGACGGCCAGATAGAAACAGAGGGGAGGGGCTGAGGGCAGAGGCCCTGCCAGAGCTTATCTGGAAAGGTCAGGCCCGGCGGCGGGGAAGGCAGAGGGCGGGTGGGCGGGCGGGCGCCTCTGCAGAGCTGGAAAGGCTGGTGGCAGCTGCGGCCAGGCCTCGAATCCCAGGAATGTGGTGGCCCCTGACCCGAGAGAGGACACAGGTCCTCTTGGGTTTCTCTCCTGCCCTGTGGGGTCAGCACAGCAGGCCTCTCTGTCTCCCTCGAGGTGACAGAATGTGTCTTGGCCCCAGGGCCTGACCACACAGAGCTCCCAGCTGCAGGAGCAGGGCGAGGTTCGGCTCCCCCGAGACCCCCAGTCCACACACAGCCTCGCCATGGCCTCCACAGGCCCCAGGCCCCAGGCCCCAGAACCCAGAGTGAGACTGGGGGAGACTCTGCCCCACCCACAGGCTCGGCAAGGCCGGGCAGGGGACAGACACTGGGAGCCACCCTGAAGAATGTGACCCAGGGCTGCGGCTGCCGGGCTGAGCCAGGTGCCCATCCCTGCCAGCCTTCTCTGCAGGCCGCCTCCTCTCAGCCCAGAACACAGGCCGCTACTACTGACCCGTCCTGCACCTGGAGGGACGGAGGCCCAGGGCACCCTCCGCCCGGGCCCTGGCTCCCCACAGCCCCGTCCGCTCTGCAGCCCAGAGCTCTGCTGCAGCTGTGCCCAGGGTGCCAGGCCTCAGGGGCGGGGGCAGAGACGGGTGGGAGGAGACGGGCCTTCCCCGGGGGTGCGGCTCCTCAGTCAGGAAGGGAGACGGGGGCAAAGACTCCTTGGGCATGGGCCTGGGGGGTGCTGTGCTGGGAGGGAGCCGGGACAGGGAGCAGGCACCACCCCTGGCAGGGGGTGTGGAAGGGGCAGCGCGGGGATGGGCTGTGCCTCCGATGCCCAGACACCCCGATGGACAGGGTGGGCAGCCCAGAGGGTCGCTCCTGCCCGAGGCAGGGCTTCGCGGTTGCCAGGCACTACCTGCCAAAGCAGCAGTTCCCAGGACCGGGGCAGCAGCCTCCCGGGAACTGGTTACACCTCACCTTCACCCCAACCTGATGTGGGAGAAACACGGCAGAGAGCCCTGCAGCCCCGTCCTCAGCCCTGGGCGGGAGAAA